ACCAGCAGCAAAGGGAGACCCCTTCAGTTGTACGAAGATGCCCAGCAGGACCAACCAAAGCTTCAGCATATGGACTGACAGTTTACCAGATAATTAACCAACTTGTGATGTATCTAGCTTCATAAATAAGTATATTTGTGCATGTAATAACCTTTTGGATACCTAAATAAGTTGATTAAGATCTATGCTTTTGGTGGTTTTATTTAAATTCTTTCTTCTTCTTTTTTCTCTTTCTTTTTTGTGTGTGTTTTGGATTCCTGCATATGTATGAGCGTGTGCTATATAATTATTTTTGATAATCATGATAAAAGAAGTTGTTTGAGCCAATAATTTAGGAAGACCATGGAATAGTTATATATTATCATTGTACTTAAAAAGGCAGAGAACACGTTGGAAGAGAGTAATCTGTGTAATAATGCATAGCACTATTTGGTCCAACCATTGGTTGGTTTCACTGGTCTTACGAGAGGGTGGAGGAAAATGTAAATTAACTTCTTTCATTAATTTATATTATCTCATATATAGATAAGGTAAATTTATAAAGGTCATGCCAAGTTCAGTGTGAATCTCATCATTATAATTTACATTTCAAATAATTTCATCCTGCCGATTAAAGAAGTATGCAATTGAAAACTCTACGAGTTTATGACCTAATTCTTACGGTGGAAACTATGTGAGTGTAGGGTTTCGGATGGTACGAAAACCGCTTTTGATAAAAAACTAACCAGCTTAACCCTCTTACCCACCGTTTTGTCACTTTTTTTTTTTGTTAGTTTAACGGTGTATCATGCACTTAATTATATGTTTGTTTCTCTTTTATCAACGGTATATCTTTCTATGCGTAAGATATGCATATGCATGTAAGAAATCATTTAACAAGTTCGAGATCTTACCAAGTGAGACTTTACCCCCCGTTTTCCACTTTTGTATTAGTTTTACGGTGTATCATGCACTTATATGTTTGTTTCTCTTTCATCAACAATATATCTTTCTATGTGCAGAATATGCATATGCATGTAAGAGATCAATTTAACAAGTTCGAGATCTTACAAAATGAGAATTAAATTTCAAAAATAATTTACATCCACAATTATCATCGACTAAGCATTAGTAAACGTAATAATGTGTTGTTAAATAATTTACATCCACAAATGCTCTAATCTCTTCACTCAGCTAGTTCCTTATATTAAGAATCAACGTGTAAGGATGAAGAAAGTTGAGATTCCATTACAAAAACAATTGGTAATATGTGAAATGACTCAACTTTTTTATAAACTCATATAGAGTTTCTTTTCCTATAAGTATGAAATTCATTCTCAACACAAGAATCCTTGGAGACAAGAAGAAGTTGAAATCACTTAACTGAGAAAGTGATTTTCTATTCGTCGTTGTACCATGAATCTCAGTAGTGGGGACCAACCAAACCTCCAGTGACATAGCCACACAAACAGATTTTTTATGTCTTCCATTTTCTACTCTTGCTTTGTTCCCCCTGAGGTCTAGCCACTGCGGGTCCACCCAATGGATCTATGATGAACTCAAGAAGACGAACTTAAACAAATCAAAAGGAAAGCTTTCATGGAGTTAAAGAATCCATTAAGGCTTCTTTATCTCCAGAGATAGAGAGTTAATTAAGATCAACCAATACTTTTGTCTAATTTGAGACAACTCCAAGTGCTGCCTTGTAGTCACACGGCAACATCTGTCTATGTCAAAATATCGGGCACGAAAGAAAGATATGCAGTAGCTATCGATATATACTGTGTATATATAATTATATATCCTTTGATGTTTGTCTTTTTTTTTTTTTTTTCACGATACATGCATGCTTTCATTGCTTGTCTCTCAGAGAAATTAAGAGGAGACAGAAAGGGACAAAATTGGCCTCACACTAATGTGCTAGTTCTTTTGCGCACCAAATAATTATAAACTTTGGTCGATCTTATTGGTGGATATAAGTTGAGCAACTATACATAATTAGCACTAATACACCCATTAACTATTTAATCATGTACTTGCCGATGGCAAATTATATGCTAACAATTAGCTTTTTGTTTAGTTAATATTATTTACAAATGTGATTGTATAAATCTAAAAGTAAGATTCTAATAGAATTTGGGATATCTAATTCTTTACAATTTGTATCACTTGTGCAGCAAGTAAAGCTTACCTAATTAAGGTACATGACTATGAGGGGAGTGTGCAATTCAACACGTTATTAACACGAATTATCTCTTTGGAGAGAAGATCGAGTCAAGCGTGTCTTAATTTGCAATCATAATCCAAGTAACATCTAAAACTTTATCTTTGTCAAAGTTCTACAAATCTTTATGCATGTTATCTCTTTGGAGAGAAGATCGAGTCAACCAGTATCTTAATTTGCGATCATAATCCAAGTAACATCTAAAACTTTATCTTTGTCAAAGTTCTACAAACCTTTATGCATGTTATCCATACCATGAAGCATGAACCATATTTCAATTTCGAATTATATATATTGCAATGTTTGCAATAGATTGTTCTGATTTGAAATTGGATTATTTAATTACATAAGTGTGTGGAAAGGATAAAAAAAAAAAAAAAAAAAAAAAAAAAAGAATACTTAAAACCATAATTGCGCCGTGTATGCTGAGCCGAGGAGTCTAGAACCCAGACCCAAAAACGACGACGTTTAGGTCGTCTCCTTCCCCAAGTCCAGGTTGTGCGTCTCCTTGGCTTCCCCCAATGCCACTGACTAGCAATTCGCCATGAAGGTTGGCCTACAACCCATCTCCGGCGGCTAATTTGTTTTTTTCTACCATACTTATATGTATTTTATATAATTATTATCTAATGGTAGCTATAATTCATGTGAATATATATATTTAATACAATCATCGTCTGACGATTAAGATGGTGATTGTATAAAATATATCTAAGCATTATAGCCAAATCCTGAATTTAATTGATTGTTTTTGCCAAGAAATTAGCTTGATTAACTTTGATTGATTATGATCAAGTTAATTAAATTAATTTTAAACAAATGCTGCAAAACCTCTAATATATGGAGGTCGAAAAATCATTGAAATTGGGATTGTCTACACACTATTTATAAATCATTATCGTTTGGACTCGAAAAATTCTAGAAATATCTACACATACGACAAATATATTTGCTGCATTAAGAAGTGACCATTTTTTTCTTCTTGATGTAACTTAGAGACCGTTTGATAAAATTGATTTTAAATTCAAACTAAATTATGAAAACTTACGAAAGTAGCTTTAATATTTTAACTTTCAATTGCTTTAGACAATTGTTAATGCTATTTTAAAATTCTCATTTTGCACTCAAAATTTTATATATTTAGATATAAAAATACATTTATAAAATATGCAAGATGAGATTTTTAGAGTGCCAATAACAGTTTTTTTGTTTAAATGAAAACTAAAACTTGAACTGCTTATCAAACCCATACGTAAAAATTGGTCTTTCTTTATATATGGAAAACGGCTATATTTTTTTTTATTTTGGTTTCTATGATGATACCACACTTTTACTGTGGCCCTCGTAGTGAAAAAGTTATTAATTAAACCCTTATGGTGAGCCATGTTAGCTATTGAGGTCAAAACTTAAACTTCTGTTAGTTTTCCCTTAAATACACTTGTAAGGCATGAATATTTTTTTGGTCGCAAGAGAAGAAACCAGGGAACTTATCCCACCCATGAAAAAGAGAAGCAACACGAAAACATCATAAACAGTGACCAAAAGTAAGGGATGAGTTTGTTTTCGCAGAATCCATCGCCAGCTGATGGAGGAGAGAAGAAAAAGGTCCTCCATATTTCCCCGTGATCCATCACCAAATCAACGACAAATGCCTTGGGTTTTTGAATTTGGTTTGATTGGACGACTTTAATCTCTCTATGTGAGACTCACATGTGCTTATTTAATGGAAACTAACATAACGTTGGTTTGGACACCAATTGACAATAGAACTCACTATAATGGTTTACTTAACAACTTTTTCATTACGAGGATCACATTAAAAGTGTGGCATCACCACGGGGACCGTACAAAAATTTAGCCTTAAAAAATAGTTCTATTTTTCATGGAAGGGAAGGGAACAGGACAGTCGGACTAAAACTACTATGTGTGGAAAATTACGAACCAATCTTCATTGTGCGGAAAATTAAGGTCCAACTAAAACTACTATAATATGAGTTTGATCGGAATTACTTAATCTCCACATCATGATTAAATCAGCGCTCATGATCGCATCTACTTCAGCCGCCTTTTGATCAAATTAATGATTGTATATTTCATATTTGTATCTGGAAATCCATATCCCAGTAGGAGTAGTAGTTCTCCAGCACGTACAAATACTATATAACTCTCACTCTCTCAGACTATTTCTTTCCAACAACAACAATCATGTCTTCACTAATGTTCTACCCTGTTAAGAAAATCGCCACTCTCTTCCGAAAGTTGTTAGGTTTAAGGATGCTGTTCAAGAACAACTCGCACGAACGATTTGTTCCCGTTCATGATCCAAATATCGACACAGTAATTGTATATGTAGGCGAAGAGAAGAACAGATATGAAGTTCCGGAGAAATATTTCTCGTATCCAATATTCGAAGCGTTCATCGTCAAATTATTACGGGAATCGGAACAGGAATTTGATTGCGAAGGTGAAGAACCTCTCATGCTTCCATGCTGTTCTACTGACATGTTTGATCAGTTATTGAAGCACGCCAAGGAATATTTTCTGTACACACATTTGTATGAAGTCTTCGTGACAAACCCTTACCACCCTGTTAACTTCGCTCACCAACCCTCGATAAATAATCCTTCACGTGTGTAACCAAGATTCTCGCAAGTGTAAAATTAGGCCAGTTGACGAGAATTTGAGTCTGAATTCCCGCCCGATAAATTAGAGTAGTTTAGAATATTGCGTTGTAAAAAACATAAATCCAAGATTTTCTTTATCTAGTGAGGCCAATTTATTCGGTACGCATTGCTGCTTCAATATGCAAGTTGATTTGTTAGATTAAAAAGAAATTATACATATTCTTGAGGTACATAAGTGAGAGTTTACAAAGAAACGTTTATGACCTACATATCAATCTGATTAGTTAAATCTCGGACCAGGCGCAGCGGCAGTTTTAGTTTCATTCAGCTTTCTTCTTCTAGAGAGATTGGAGATCGACCTTCTTGAGTGAATTCAGATAACAACATACGCGTTCACTGTACCTACCCCAACCAATTTCACTCTCTTTCGGACTGAGTTGCACAAGCAGACAATATATCGACGCTTTCAATGGTGTTCTATCATTCAACCTTTGCCACACCTCCAGCAGGCATGTTGCTTTCTGCGACTCTCTCCCTCACAAACCTGGATAGAATAGCAAAATTCCACATTACCAGACAAATAGGTAGAGCAAAGCATGAATGACCACGCAACAGTGATCGAAACTTAGCTTGTTCATAAAGTCTAGTTTCTTGGCAACAAAGTAGCCCAATGTTTCTGAAAATTACCTTGCTAACTTGTCCCGTGATGATTGCAAAATGTATATCGACAGAATAAAAGAAAGCATAAGACCTGTTGAACGCATGAAAATATTTAGTAGCAATAGTGTCAGAAAAGCTCTACATTGAGGTGGTCTCGCATTAATTTATGCATGGATCGTATTAGATTTGGATATCTTAAAGCATCAAAGAAATGCATGTGCTATAAACAGTTGGATTGAAGATAGGCTAGCAGGTAGGAATAGGATAATGAATACACAATGAGCATAATGAAGCACTGATTTTTACCCGATCCAAACAGTACATAAAATCCAGATGTCACGTCTATCTCTGATTGCTCCTCCCTGTAACAACAAGATTATGTCACATCTCACAAAGTTAAAATTCCGAAGCCCCGAGATTTACACAAATCCATAACTAAAATATAAGTGAAAGTGATGCTGACCATGTATATCTGACCAACACATGCTTTGGCCAGTGCTGAGCATCCCAAAATTGTTTATGAATATCTGGATGGATTTCTACGTCTGCTCAGGACAGAACAATCCACAATGGTTATGAGAACTCCTCGAACAACAGCAAAATAAACTCGAACTATAGGTGCCTTTTTTTCTGTCCGAAAATGATACTAAGACTCAAAACTATATCAATGACAATCAGAGAAGTCCTATTCCCTGCTTTCGTTTGGACTGACCTAAGTGGTGAAGAAACTAAACTAACCAAAAACATGATAAACGCAAAAAGTGCCTATGCTACAAGACAATCCCTTCCAAAGAGCCAGCTAGGTTCACTATGATAAAGAAAATTATTGAACTAGATTACGGAATGAGCAAAATGGCATTACGTACAGTGGTGAGGCATATCCACAACTTTAGCAGTGACACCATGCAAATCACTTCCTGAATACCTCTGTATTGCATATAATTTGACCACAATAACAGATTAGTTCAATAGAAAATACTGAAAATAACTTCTATCCCTTCCATATAACTAGTTTTTCTAACAGATATAAGGTTACAGAATCAAGTGTTTGCATCTAAACGAAGCTATCCCAGTATGCCACTATTTTCCAATTTCTCAAAAGATGTGGCATCGTACATATGTTGAAACGCTCATAAATCACGACTTACCAAATGAACATCAATCATTGGGACCTCGGAACTTTTACGATTTATCACAAAAAGCCATGGTACTAAAAACTTTTCTCTCCCAACTTGAAATGATCTGCACAAAAAACTCTCTGTAAATATGAATTTGACCAGAAATGTTCATAACAATACTAATTCACTGCTAAACGTGAATTGGGTGTCAAAAGGAAATTCGACGAACAACTGTTAATTTATTAGTAATAGTAACATTATAATCCGAGGTTTTGCACATTCAATTGTAAAGTACAAACAAAGTAAATTCAGCTACCAAACTCTAAACTTGAAATTGTCAAATTACAAAAAATATCTCGATTGCGAAACATTTCGCCCTTGCTTGTACAGATAGTTTGGCTGATTCCCATTGCTTACAATCTAAAACTGATAATGCACAGAAAAGAAACAAAATTTGAATCAAAAGACGAAACTTTAAAGCGTTAATTATACTCACATTTTATAAGCATCAGCTCCTGTATAGTCCATCGGCTTCACTAGAGGAACTAACACCTACAAATTTATACACCACAAAAATTCACTAACCATGTAAAATCACCAAAAAATAAACCCTATATTTACCTCACGATTCACGGCAAAAATTGGGCAGTGTCGACCGATCATATCATGCCATTCGGTTTTCATCTGAAACCGCGAAATTGCACAAAACCCATTAAAAATTAAACAGAACCCATTAAATTTGAACAAAACCCATTAAAATTGAGCCGAAATTGAACAAATATTTTAGAGAGAGAGTACGGACAGAGTGATAAAGGCCCATCTTGCTCATGGGGACGATGTCGCCTGGCTTGTAAGCGGCAGATATGCAGGGCAGCACGGAGAAAGAAATCAACAGAGGGAGCAGCAGGAGTGAGAATCTCGACCCCCTTCCACTTCCCGCCATCTTGTAATTTCTATCGCTCTGAAACTTTCACCCGATCTTCTGAAGTTGGAGACTGGACGTTGCAGGTGATGCGGTCGCCGGGCAGAAATGTGCAGGAATTATTATTTCGGATTTGGAGTTTGGAGAATTTGGGTCAGGCCCAAAGCATATAGGAAAGTTACATATGGGCCCAGGGTTTGGAGTTTGAATAAAATTGCTGTATCCACCCACACAATTTTATTTATGGAAATTTTATTTGAACCCATGTAACCTCTTTTTACACCCAACTTACTCTCTACAACCATATTATTTTTAATTAAAGAATTAATCTCTCTTTAAACCTAAATTTATTACCCAAAATGTCCTCCCATACCTAATTCAAAATGTTAATTTCTCTTTACACCCATTCATAAAACAAAATTTCAAACTAAGTAGTTTGTTTTCAAATAAATTCGAAAGTCAAAAATCTTCTAGGTCCTATGTACCTGCTCGCAGATGTAATTGCAATAGCTGAGGCAAAAAAGAGGAGGAAAAAATTCACGAAGCTATAGAGCGTTCATGGCCGGCAATGTTGAACACAGTGCTAAACTTCGATTCGTGTTGACTATAAATTCTCTCCTAGTTTTCATACAGGTCCTTTTATTTTGAGGGGACTCCTTGAAGATTTGCGCCAAAGCATATCACCTGACCATGATTATAGAAGGTTGTTGACAATTGACATAAAAGATGTGGCTTGTAACTTAGGTACTTCTTCAAGGCTTTTGCTTGTTTTATATGTTGTTAATTTAATTCGAATGGTATGTTGTTTATTTAATTCGAATGGTTTGAGAGTGAGATGTTGTTCATCCAACTCCTCCATCCTTGCTGGAAATAGGGTTTTAACCATCGATAAAAAAAACTTGTTTTTCTCTACAAGAGTTATTAGGGTTTTTGTCGGAATGAACGTAGGATAAACAAGGAATGATGGTAACGTTTAATTATAATGTGTGGGTTTATTGATAAATTGTAGTTTTATTATTAATTTGTCTTGTACTTGATGGTAATTATGCAAGATGATTAAATAGACAATTAACATTTAAAATTTAAGTTGGATGTAGAAAGAGGTTACATGAGTTTAAATAAAATTTCCCTTTATTTATTTATTGGTGTAAATATACCAAACTAGCATTTTTTTGAGTTTAAAAAAAAAAAAACATTCAATGGAATTTGTCCTAGTACTTTATTTATTTACAAATAATATATTTTTTGTGAAAAAAAAAATTTGTTTGAGACGAAATTGGACTCAAAACATCGAGGGGAAGAGTAAATATTCTTAACCAATTAAACTACAACAATTTACTCATTGTAATTGAATTGTAATGAGCATTAAACTACAATCTTGAAAGTAACAAATATTGCTTGACTTCTTTAATGTAAGAATTCATTCTTTTTAGCAAACTAATAAAACCCTAACTTTGCATCTTGACTTCTGTGTAGCAGTAACGAGTAATTTCTATTGTAATTAACAACAAATACAACAACCTCCTTTCTGTTTACAACCCTTCCTATATTACTAGTTAGCTCTACTGCCTTCAGTTCTTCTTCTTCAGAGTTCTTTCATGAACCCTAGGGGCCTAAACCCAGTAGTAACCCTCTCGCAGTCTCGCGCAGCCTGAGGCCCTGAGCCTCCTCTCTCTCGCTCTGTCTCTCTCAATCTCTCAGGCGACTCGCGACGGCGCGACCCTTTTCACTCTCAATCTCTCACACCTCGCCGGCTCGCCCTCGTCGTTAGTCTCTCTCTCATCTCGCTGTCAAATTTTTCTTGCCGTTTTCAAGTCTCGACAGTCGACAGCAAAATGTTAGCCTCCTTTCTCTCTCTCTCGGTCTTCAACTTCAATCACTCTCTGTCTCTCTCAAACTCTCTGTCTCTCTCAGTCTTCAATCCCAGGCGACCGCGAGTTCGGGTCGGCGGACCTTTCTCACTCTCAAATTGTCTCAATCTCTTACACGGTCACACCTTGCCCTCGCCGCCAGCGCTAGTCTTTGATCTCGCCGTGAGCTTCTTCTTGCCGTTTCGACTTCGAGTCTCGAGACTGCAAAAGGTTGGTCTCATACTCTCATATCTAGGTTTCTGCTTCTGCTTATCGATTCTGGGCTTCTGCTTGACTGCTTTTGCTTACCGATTCTGGCCTTCTGGGCTTCTGCTTCTGCTTACCAAATTACCAATCATTAAAATTGCATGCAGAATCAGAGAATAGTAGAATACCCATGTTTCAGAATTCAGAAATTGTAAATTTGTAATATTTGATTAATTATTCTTTGTCGTGAATCGTGATTGAAAATTTTGATGGTTTTCTGGGATTTTGAGAACCTGTTGGTTATACTGTAATATTCGATTTCGATATGTTGGTTATTTCCTTGTTGGTTTTGAGAACCTTTCAGAAATTGTAATTTGTAATATTCGATTTCGATATGTTCTTTCCTTGTTGGAACTTGGTTATACATGTTGATTTTGATTTGATAATTGATGTTAAAGACTTTAACATCAGAATGAATGTTGTAAAACTGTGCTTGTTGTAAACTAAGTCTGAATGAATGGTTGGTTTGGGATAAACTAAGTCATTAATTGCATCAGTAAAACTGTGCTTGTTGTAAAACTGTGCATCTGAATGGTGATTGTGATTGAAGTTAAAACAAACTGGATCAGTGGATCTGAATGGTTCTTTGTTGCAAGCTTGCATCTGAATGGTTCTTTCCTCTTCATGTAAAACAAACTGGATAGTGGATATTACAAAATGGCTGCAAGTTGTTTTCATATACTTTTTTTAAGCTACTTGGAAAAAAAAAACCGAACCGGGCCGAAACCGAACCGAGAAAACCAAACCGAATACAAACCGAACCGAACACAAACCGATAGAAAACCAAACCGAACCGAACCGAACAGTAATTTCGGTTTGGTTTCCGGTTTTCGTAAAAAACCGAACAGAACGGAACCAAACCCACCCCTAATAGTAGCTAGTTAGCTTCATCCGTAAGCTTACTACTAACAACATTATCCTTTTAACCACTAATATTTGTCCTAGTCAACACTAATACAGTGCCATCTTATCAACCAATTCAGTTATCACACAAATCCTATCAATACCCCCCCTCAAAACAAGGCTTGTATACAAGACTTGAAAAACAAGAAAAAATTTGCAAAAATACAATGGATTAAAGCTGAGCAACTCCTAGAAAACGCAGCTTCAAGTCTAAGTAAGTCTCCCATGTAGCTTCTTCTGGAGTATGATTTTGTCAATGAACCAACACATCCGTAATTGCAGTTGTACCCTTCTTCACCATTCGTCTGTCCAAAATAGCCACAGGAACATCTTGTAAAGAACCATATTCAGTTAACACAGGTAGTTGAATCGTAGGTTGAATAGTAGCCCCTAAATGTTTCTTAAGACAAGAAACATAGAACATTGAATGAAGCTTAAAGTTGTTTGGGAGTTTCAAGCTATAAGCAATAGAACCAACCCTTGCTAACACTTCAAAATGACCATAAAACTGAGGTTGCAACTTATGAAACGAGTGAGAGGCCAATGACATATGTTGATAAGGTACCAACCTCAAATCGATTAAGTCACCCACCTCAAAAACCCTTTCAGTTTGATGCTTATTAGCATGTACTGTCATTCAATTTTGTTCTGTTGCTAAATTGGCCTTTAAGAGAGATAAAACTTTATTTCTTTCCAACAAACATCGATCCACCATTTCCAATTTAGTAGTACCAGCTTCATACACTAGAATCTCAGGTGGTGGCTGACCATACACCACTTCATAAGGGCAGAGTTTAGTAGCAAAGTGATAAGCTGTATTAAAGCTCTACTCAGCCCACGGTAATCAAAGTGTCCATTTTTTGTGCTGAAGACTACAAAAGCACTGCAAGTAAGTTTCCAAACACCGGTTTACCACCTCCGTTTGACCATCAGTTTGTGGGTCATAACTTGAGCTAAAACATAGTGAGGATCCTTGCAATGAAAAAAATTCTTTCCAAAACTTGCTCATGAAAACTGGGTCTTTATCACAGATAACAGATGCAGGCACGCCATGAAGTTTAAAATTATGCTCCACAAATAAGGTTGCCACCAAAGTTGCAGTATAAGGATGAGATAAAGGTAAAAAATGTGCATATTTGGATAAGCGATCCACAACTACCTAAATGACAGTTTTTCCTCAACATGAGGGCAGACCAATGATGAAATCCATGGATATGTCAATCTATACCTGTGAAGGAATAGGCAAGGGCTTCAGTAATCTTGCATGAGCTAAGGTCTTGTACTTGTGTTGTTGGCATATCTGGCAGTTGGCAACCTTGTCCTTAATGTTGTTTTTCATACCAACCCAATAAAAAGACCTAGAAAGCCTCTTATATGTCTTAAAAAATCCATCATGCCCAGCAACAGGACTGCTATGATGTTCTTCGAAGACTTTCTGTCGCCACGAACTCGTAGGACTCAAAACAATTCTCTCTTTGTATCTTAGAAACCCATTCTCAACTTTAAACTTCAAGGAATTCAATGATGTAGAGTTTAAAGGATGTAGGATTTCCTGAATCTTGTCCAGTGTCCAAGCATCTTGTTCTATGTGTCATCTCAAATCATCTAACCAACTGAGATATGGGTATGAAATTGCAGCCAATTCCATACTAGAATAATAAGAAACTTCATCAATAGGAATTCTGGAAAGTGCATCTGCCACCTGATTATCACAGCCTTGATTATATTGAATCTTGTAATTAAAACCAAGCAATTTAGAAACCCATTTTTGTTGAAATTGACTATTGGCCCTATGTTGCAAAAAAAATTTCAGACTATGATGATTTGTTTTGATGATGAAATGCCTACCCACCAAGTATGATTGCCATTTTTTAACAGCATGTATGATAGCCATCATCTCCTTTTCATAGGCAGACAAACTTTGGTTCCGTGCACTAAGTGTCTTGCTAGTAAAGGCAATAGGTTTGCCACCTTGCTGGAGAACAACTCAAATCCCAAAACCCGATGCATCACTTTCTATAACAAAAGGTTG